CGCGGTCCGCGCCCCAGGCGGCCGCTGCAGGGTGGCCGCTGGGAGCTGCTGCAGCCCACAATCTGGGAGCTGGGCACACGGCGCCTGATGGCAGCTATAAGGGGCACCACGCACCCCTTACAGCAGCCATCAGGCACCCCCCATCGGTTGGCACCTTGGGCAGCTGCCCGGCTCGCCCACCCCTTAGTCCGGCCCTGCTTCCACCTCCCCCCCTTTTCCCCTATTTATTTTGGTCCTGGACATCCAACACACTGGTCATCTGAAGAAGTGGGCTGTGCCCATGTAAGCTCATGATGCCATCTACATGTTTTGTTAGTCTTTAAAGTGCTACCAGACTATTTGTTGTTTTTTATGGAATTCCAGAGGTTTTCATACTGTGTTTAGAGACATAGGCCTTGTTTTTATTGCTAAAAAAAAAAAAAAATCATATTTATTTATTTATTTATTTATTACCTCAGGGCAAGTACCATGCATGAGCTATCCCACGATAAAAACACATACAAGACAAAAACTGAGAGGCAAAATAAATTAGGAGAGATCAACTCCAGGTGGGGGAAGCACTGAACATGCCATGAAGTTTTCCCTTGAATTTTTATCTTGGGATAGCTCACATACTTTACCTACAAATACACTTTTTTAGCAGTGAAGACAAAGCCACAAAAATGATTGACACTGTACAAGCAGAGGGAATGGTGACAGGAGTAGAAAGAAATGACTATAAAAATGTATAACTCCTAAAACTTCGGTCATCTGAAGAAGTGGACCATGCACATGAAAGCTCATAATACCATCTACATGTTTTCTTCGTCTATAAAGTGCTACCAGACTATTTGTTGTTGTTTAAGTTTATAATAATTTAAAAACTGGCATCATTTTTCAGCTTCACTCTGGTAACATATGAAGCATATTTGTAATGTATGCAGTATTAATGAATTAGTATTTAACATCTCAAATCTCTTGAAAAGTAGGTATTTACTGCCTTCACTTTACTGATGGGGAGGTGAGGCACAGAGGAGTTAAATGACTAGCACAAGGTCACACAAACAGGGGTGAATATCATAACTAGGTTTAGAATTCTAGGCTTTGGTTCCCACTTCTGTGCTCAAATCCTTACACCAAATCTATAAATTTAAAATTAAAGAGGACAGTTTTGATTGTTACAGTCTCTATGTGCGCATCTAGATTTTATTTGAGGGCCATGAAATAAATGATATAAATATCAAACCAAGGACAAACAATTTGGCTACAAAAATATGCCCCACACTCAGCACTTTGAGACCACTTTCCAGTTACTAAAAAGCAAGATTTAACAAATGTATCTTGCCCCACATACCAGTTCACATGGGTGGCAGGTATCCTAGGCAGGGGGAGGCACTGCCTTCCCTAACTGCCTCACCTGGCCCCGGGGCCAGGACAGGCTAGGGCCATGTCACCCGCTGGCACTTCGGAGCTCCAGGGCTGAGGCCACACCACCTGCCAGCTTTTCAGAGGTCTGGGGCAAGGGCAGACTGGGGCTGTACTGCCTGCTGGCTCCCTGGAGCTCCGGGATTGGGGGAAGGTGTTGTTGTGCCCAGGCGTGAGGGGTGGGGGGGTGCTACCCTGGCACATGGAGGGGGCAAGGGCCAGCAGTTACAGGAGGAGAGGAATACAGGGAGAGGTTGGGCAAGGCCAGCAGGCCACAGGAGGGGGGCAAGGATGGGCTCTGGTGAGGCTTGCCTCCCCAAGCCACAGGGTCACCCACCATCCATGCTAATTTAGATTCAGGCAATTGCCTGAGGAAAGGCATTCCAGATTTGAGAGCTCTCTACTAAGAATTCCCTGCAACATACACAGAAGGTCAAACCCTGAGGAGTAGACAGCAGGAACATTCCAGCCAACTGCAACTTCCACAACAAGGCACACAGGGGAAAAGTGTTTCTGCAATAGCCCATTTGCAGGCCATTTAGGGCTTTATAAATAATTACCAACAACTTAAATTGTACCCAAAGGCAACTGGTGGTACAGGACACAGGCCATTGAATTACCAATCCGGTATGCTTAAAAGGCAAGGCACTGCACTAGTTGAAGCTGAGTAATAACAAGTACTGAATGCTTTGCACGTCTTGGACTCCTGGGCACTATGGTAATACAATCAATAAATAATAACTGCAATAATCCAAGCAAGAGGAGACAAAAAGCAAAGATATCTGTGGAGAGAAAGGAAGATCACAAACTCCATGTCAGCTGATGTTCAGAAGGTGCTCTGAGATTGTAGAAATAGTAAAGGATCAATTAAGACCCCAAAATTGCAAACTACAAAGACTAAGGGCAGACATGCCCTCAGCAGAAAGAACACACAACTCCATCAATTCCTCAATATGTTCCCACACACCTAACCTATCAGCATCACCTCTGTCTTTCTGGATTAATCTTAAAGCAGCTATATTTCATCTATGGGTTAAGATTCCAAGGGCAATAAATATGCCCACTAAGTGGTAATGTAGAATAGTGGTAGAAATGTAGCCGTGTTAGTCTGGTGTAGCTGAAACAAAATACAGGTCTATGTAGCACTTTAAAGACTAACAAGATGGTTTATTAGATGATGAGCTTTCGTGGGCCAGACCCACTTCCTCAGATCAAATAATGGAAGAAAATAGTCACAACCATATATACCAAAGGATACAAGAAAATTCTCCCATCACCCTAGCTACCATCTCTTGAGAGAGGTGTAATACCTACATCAAAAGTAAAGCCCCTCCCATCAGCAAACAGTGTCTTCACAACAGCCTTTTAAGTGTACACAACCCCTCAAGTGACATTAAAAAGGAGCACAGTCACTCCAGGACATACAAGAGGCTGCTGTAATGAAGTCTAATCTGACTTCAGTAGCTATTTGCAATCAAATGTGTCTGCTAGTTAATAATTTGCACAACTGCAAACATTAGAAACAAGTTATACATTGAAGTGAATAATTTTCAATAGCTGGTATCAATCAGATTTTTCTTTCATATATTGGAAGCCTTTCTAAAGCTATAGTTCAGCCCTGCATAGAGATTAAAATTACCAAACAAAAAAATTAATGCAATCTAAACAATGAATGGTTCTTTCCTTCCCTACAAGAGCTTTGAGCAAAGATTATTTTCCACCCCTCTAACTGCCAACACAGAACTACAGACTGCCAACTTTTCAACTCCACTTTTCCATGTCACTGAAGCCACAGGCAAGAGCACCATAGGTGTTGGTGCAGCTGGTATTCAGTATTGACTCACCAAGCAAGGCAAGGGGTGCAGGGCAAAACTCACCAATTAAGAATCTGAACAGCAGCAGCAAAGCGGGGTTTAAAAAGGTTTAATTTTTCCAGAGACTAATGCTCTCAAATCAGATAAGTCCTTCAAAAAGAGCTAATCCATAATTTGTTTGCTAGTTACAAATGTTAACAGTTTTTAGGCTCAAATCTTTGTTCTCTCTACCTGGGTTCCTGTTTTAA